ATGACACGATAACTTTTTCAGAGGTCTAAGCAAGACGACGACTTCAACACCTTTTTCAACGCCGATTACTCCACAACCACGACCAACACCCCGTCACCTCCCAGCAACGACATCGTCTTCAGCACCGCCAACTCCCCCGGTGATTTTCGCGCAGAGTACCGGGATCACAGTCAGACCAGCTCGCCCGAAACAAGCAACGATTCGCTGGGAAATGACACTTGGGCGGCCATCCACATTCCCCAGACCATCAATGATTACCGGCCCAAGGTGTCCATCCACCTCGACCGCACCAAGACGCGTGCCGAAACCCAAATCAAGACGGTGCTCGTTGTCGACCCGCTTCCAGCTACCATACAGTGGGTGCGCTTTCCTCGGCCTACGCTGTCCAAGTCCAAGCAGCTGGCAAGCGCAGAGGAAATCGAGGCAAACGAGAAAAAGGATGGCACAGCCCGCGTCTCACTCACCCTTGTCCTCGCAACGGCGGTGGAGAAGCCAGAGGGACTCGAGCGCGCCTATCGACGTGCCAGAGGCGCAGAACCGACCCCAAGACGGCCGAACACCACACCAGTCACAGAGATTGACAAGAGCGACAAGTGCCACCCGCAAAACGGGGGCGCGGTTGTGATTTGCGAAGGCTGCAAGGAGCGCGAGGCCAAGCGCTACAATCGCAAGAAGAAGCGCAATGCAGAGGAAGAATCCGAGTGGAACAGTTATGAGGATGAGCGCATCATCATGATCAACGAGAAGGAGTTCAAGAGATGGCAGGACATGGAGGAAGATCTAGAGTACTCGCCCGAGGCGAAGAAGGTAGAGTTCGTCATGCGAATCACCTGCTATTGTCGACATCAGGAAGACAAATCGCCAGTCGGCTATCGAGTCATCTTCACCTTTACCGACGCCAACAAGAACCTCATAGCACAGGAACTGTCGGACATTATTCAGATTACGGATGACCACAAGAACAAGGAGAACCCCGCCGAGACCTTGGGGCCTCTTACCATTCCTACCGCTGTGCAGGACTCGGTACCGGCCAACTACACGGCTCCCTTGTTCGAGTACTCGCCAACGGTCTATAGTGCATACTCGCAGCCCACAACACCGATTGTACCACATACCCCAGGCATCGCCCATGGCCTTCCCCACTCCCAGAGTATGTTTTTTCCACGCGAGGCACAGTATCCTCGCATGCCCAACACTGCCATTGCATCGCAGTTGCCTCCGCAGAACGGCATGGCATTCTCGAATGGACTCTCAACCGCTCCAACGCCTCAATACGCCACCCATCAACGCGGCCAAAGCTACTTTATGCCGTCCATGCTGAGTCCCAAGAACGACATGGCAGCACAAGTAGGGTATCCGCTCCAGCGCCCGCAGTCGTTGGACAGCTTTGCGCAATGGAACTATCAATATTCTCCACAGACGTCATACTCGCAACAAATATACACCTCTCAGCCCCCTTCGCGTGCCACTTCGCGACCGGCATCACCAACCTGGGATCAGGGCAGAGGCCCGAAGAAGATGCGACAGCAACAGTTCATGTTTCCCGAAGACGACTTTGAGGAATGAGCTGTTGATGACATGGCATGAATTATGATTACGGATACCCCACCCACATGGAGGCACTTTAGGAATAGCATCACGCGGCGTTTAATGGAGGCTCCCTTTTGAAAAATTCGATTACTTTTTTTGATGATTGATAGTGGATGATTGTGCTATCTTGCATATTTCCAGACCCAATTGGCTCGCCACTGGGCCTGATGAGATATGGTATCTTAACCTTGGACCACATCACTTTTGATGGCTAGTTCCATACCCAGTATGGTCTCTTCGAGGTGCGACCACTGTTGGACTCTTTTTGTCTGTTGTCGGCAAACCTCCACTTTTTTTTTCTTTTTTACCATACCTTTTTTGTAATCGTTAGACAAAACTCTGTATTACTTTTTTTTTCTTACGCTGCCCACTCTCACGGGGTTTTTTGGAGGCGGGATGAGATACCAATGAAAATATCCTTTACAACTAAAAGTCGCCCAGCTTGTTGAAGCTGATGACCTTTCTGTTTGTTTGTTTTTTGCGTTCTGACGTTATACATCAAAGCAACTTGGTGAAACACGGCGTGTTGTTGAGATATCACTGTAGCCACCCGCGCAAGGTTTCTAGTGGATGTGTGCGGAAGGGAGTCTTGGGGTTGAGCCTGGGTTCTGGTGGTGAAATAGGCGGAGAATAATTGATTTTGGGAGCGGTTGTAGAGGTAGTTGGTTTTCTTCTTCATAGCATGATGTTTGTGATGGAACTTGTATGCCCCTCTCACTCATGGCTTTGATCCAATCATCCCACACACCGATTCCTCACCATTTTGCTTCTGGATACATCATACATCACACCTTCTTCTCGTCTAATCAAACAGATGCTCCCGAGCAAAAACTCGGGCGTATTTCAACGAGTTCCACGTTGGGAATTTTCCCTATCGGTGGATAAGATCCGAGTATGGGGGTTCTGCCGGCATACCTGCACCCCCCCACCACGCGACAGGATGGCGAGATGGCGAGAGACAGGCGTGATGTGATGAGAGTGATCCGTCACATCATCACATCACACTCTGATGTGACTATTTCCTGATGTCGTCCAATCGCAACATCCCCCTCTCTCTTTCCCCCTCCCTCTAAAAAGAAAGCACACAATCCTAAACAGTAAACTCCACAACATCACCACGAGCAACAAAAACCTACACGCAGCTCAAATTTCCCACCCAAACAGCCCAGCTACCCCCCATCCTACCTCGAAATACGTCACCGTCGTCAAACCTCCCATGCCAACCATGCAGATAAACGATAGAGCACTATCGCAAACCCCACCTAATTGGTCCCACCTCACCAGTCGATAACGCAAGTCCCCCCGATCTCGATGCCAATCACACAACATACTCATCCGCCTCGATACCAGCCCTCTGGATCCAGCCACAAAAGAAACCCGCCCTTCTACTCGAGTCCAGAGTCAAAAGTCCAGAGTCCAGACCCCGCTCTTCCAAAACCCCCAGTCGCCCATCTCACAGCTCGCAGCGAGGATACTGATGGCCCGGCTAGATGCATGGCTCTGATCACTGTGTAGTCGGCAAGTATTTTGGATCCAAAAGTGCACTAGCATGGGCTCGCTACGGGGGATGAGTTGGGCATGTTAATCAACGTACATGTACATGTATATGAAGACAAGACAAGCGGGGTTGGAGACTCGATAAGCCTTCATCACTTCATCTGCTAGGCGGGGAATTGGGCGCCCGGACGGAACGGCGCAGGTACGTGAGACAGAGGGCTTGGCCGGGTGAAATGGTGCAAAGGGAGGTGGAGGCATAGAATCTATTCGCCTAAGCTACTCTACCTGGCGGAGCAGGCAATCTGTGCGAATGCGGGTGAGCCCGAGGGAGTTGTAGATCCAATCAGACAGACTGGCGAAGGAAGAAGAAGAAGAAGAAGAAGGAGAAGAAGAAGTGGAAAGAAAAGGAAGAGTATGAGTGGGTATTGCCAGTCCAGACCCAGAAAGGGGGGGGGAGATTCATCTGAAGCGGATTGCACACATGCGGTAACCACCACCGAGCCAAACAGCGATGATGACGACGGGGTAGAACCAGCGGTACATTCAACGTCTTTTACAGGTTGGAAAGCCGGCTACACACGCACCCTCCAACGTCCTTGCATCCTCATTCGAACCCACTTGAGCGGGATTGCCGGTTTTTTTCCTGCCGGCGAACTCGAGCATGCCTGTGACAACGGAGCAGCGGCAACGGCCCGAAGCCGCGCTCTAGGTACAAGTATAACCCCCATCCCGCTATACCGCGGACACACATGCAGCTCATGCAGCCCATGCAGCTCAAGCAATTCATGCAAGAGATACCTACTGCAAGAACCCCCATATCTGCATTGCAATGCAGCCTGCCGCAAGCCAGCGTCTGCCACTTCTTCTGCGCAGCTTTCTGGCCAAGGGGGGGGGAGCGAAGAGGGTGGCACCATGGCATTCGACAGGCTAAAAGCCTGCAGCACCCGCCTTCCGGTATTCCTCGAATGTGCCAATCGACGGATCCTCGTTGCTTCGCAGCTCCTCTTCCCATTTCTCTTCCTCCTGGGCATGTGCGGCTTGGAAGGCTGCGGATTGGCCGCGGTGAAAGTACAGGGGTGCGCGTTTAAGAAGGGCAACGTCTTGCGTAACGAGAATGTGTTTTACGCTGGAGCCTGACGTAGACAATCAGTTGGGGAACCTTTGTAGTTCTAGGCATTGCGGACGGAAACCTACCAGGTGTCTCATACTTGGCTTGCAGCAACAGTTGGTCGACGACGTGTCGAAGTCCTCGTGCGCCAGTGCCCATCTTACTGGCTTTGCGCGCGATTTCTCGCAATGCCCCGGTCGTGAAGCGCAGTTCCATGTTCCGGAGATGGGCCTTGTGTTCTTCTTGTCTTACCAAGGAGTCCTTTGGCTCTGTGAGCACACGGACGAGCGCCCCTTCGTCGAGAGCTGAGACGGCGCAGACAGTCGGTATGCGCCCTATCAACTCGGGAATCATGCCGTACTTTTGAAGATCTGCCGGTTGAACATGATCTAGCACATTTACTTTGGCCTCGCGTCTCAGCGGTCTCGGGGCGAATGGGTTGGATGGTTCTGTTTCCTGAGGGACAAAGAAGGGGGCGTCTTTGGTGAAGGCTGCGGCTTCTGCACCAGTAAGCATCACTCCATCGGCGGCGGCGTGTGCATTGGAGGACCGTATGGAAGCACCAAAGCCCATGCTGCCCATTGACTTGCGGTCTAGGATGATCTTATGTAAGTTGGAGAAGGCGCCGGTACATATGAAGAGGATGTTGTCTGTGCGTATGTTGAACACTTCACCTTTGGCTCCTCCTGGTGGTGGTGGTGGCGGTGTCGGAGATTGGTACATGTCCACAGGACTACCTCTTCCTGAAGCGCCACCAGGTCTGGTAGAACTCCTCTCCGGTTTGGCTTGAACCTGCACAGTTGTGCCCTCGATGATCTTCAGCAAGGCTTGCTGGACCCCTTCGCCGCCAACGTCTTTACCGTAGGAGAGTTTGGCGCCTGCGATCTTGTCTATCTCATCGAGAACGATGATGCCCTGTTCTGTGGCCTCTAGATCGTATCCTGACGCGGAGAACAGACGAGCAACACACTGCTCGACATCATCGCCAATATAGCCTGCCTGTGTGAAGGTGGTACAGTCCGACATGGAGATGGGTATGCCCAGTGTCTTTGCAAGCGTCTTGCACATCAGGGTCTTGCCGACACCCGTGGGGCCCAGTATAAGCACATTGGACTTTTCAATCTGTAACTGGTGTGGGCCGGCATCGAGCGACTCGGGATCGAAGGGTGTAGATGAGGTCTGATTGTAGGCAGGCGCCTCGTTATATGCACCGTGTTCGCCATAGCCATACAGTTCGACCGTCGGCTGTTGACCTGGGAACTCGTCTGTTTGGCTCAGTCACGCTCGTCACGGGAGAAGTGGATGGGTGGCGAGGCTGGATAACAAAAAGGAAGTCGCATCTACCTTCTACAGGATGTCTGGACGCCGATGCCCTCCGCTGTGCCTGTGCCTCCAGCCGAGCCTGTTCATCCCGCTGTCGTTGAATCTCTTGTATCCGCAGATAGTGTTCATGGACGGCGACACTCAACACCACCTTGGCACGGTCCTGGTCGACGACAAACTGGTCGAGGTGCTGCCTGAGCGCCTTGGGCGTGATGTGGGTTGAGCCGACGTTGCTGGTACCGCCCAGGGGGCCTCGGGTCGGCTGGTCGGGTTCATAGGTGGAAGAGAAGCCCTGGCCGGTGAAGTCTGAGCGGTTGTACGAAGACCGACGCGGGCCGTATGAGGACAAGGCACGGCGGTGTTGGCTGGTGCTATACAGGGCCAGGTACGAGGCGCGCGCTTGTGGCGACACGACGACGATGGCTCGAAGAGTCCGGACGATCATGGTGGGGATGTATCAGATGCGGCGCGACACATAGTGTAGCCTGGTACTCCTACTAGGAACTCGGGTTTCTAGGGCGTGACGAGCCCACGCACTGAGAAGGGAATGTGATGCAGGCGTATTAGGAGGTATAGAGAGGTATAGAGAGGTATAGAGAGAGAGAGAGAGAGAGAGAGAGAGAGAGGCTCAGGCGCAAGTGGACCGTGAGGCGCTGGATGGGACGAGGCTGGCCGGTTCCTCTTGAGTCTCTCCGCCGCAATGAGTGGATGCGAGCAGGGCACGCGGGGTAAGCAGCCATAGCTCCCTTTCCCCCTCCCCCACGCACTGGCGCGCCCTGATAAGCCCGGCCCCTCCTCCCCCTCCCCCTCCGTGTCTCTCTCGCTGCTCCACCCCTCCAACACTCACCCAATGTTAGAACAACGCAAGAGGAGAGAGAGGCCTTGTCTGACAGGCTGAAATCTCACACGCAGTGAGGCGAGAGAGAAAAGAAGAGAGAAAAGAAGAGAGAGAGAAAAAAAAGCTCGGCTTCTCGGTCGCGCGCCTCACTGTCTTAGTTGGAGGGCAAATCCTCCCGCCCGCCCCTCTCCTCTCCCCTGTTCTTTACGCGCCATGTTGGGACAGTTGGGCGTCGTTGAGTGTTGACGCGAGGCCCCGTTCACTTGAGGTGTGGAAAGCTATGACGTTGATGGACTGGATGGGATTGGCAGCAACCGACTTTTTTTTGGTTGAGATGTGATGTGCAGGCCCTCAGCAAGGAGAGAACCCCGCAAATAGAGTACTCTAGCTTTTCTGCTTCTCGTCGCTACTGGGCTGCCGACTGCATCCTACACATACATATACTAGTAGCCTTTCCAAGCTGCTCTCCCCTGGTCCTGGCCACTGGCACTGCTCTGTCCTGTTCTGTTCTACTCTGCTCTACTTCAAGGCCGCCGTGTGCTGTAACCTTTTCTCGTTGCTACATACCTACCTGACACCCAAACACCATCATTTGCCTGGTAGCAGACTTTCCTGCTGTGCCCTCCTCTGACTTCTGTTCCCTCTGAACATCATCACGCCATGGAGCTGAACACAGCTTCGGCGAACTCGACCCAGACGGAGGCCCCAGGACAAATCCCCAATGACGGCACCGGTATGCATCCTCTGTCTATGTTGTCTGGATAGGAACAGTGAACTAATCACTTCCATCATGGGCAGGCATTATACAGCTCGACGGCTATCTAGAGCCTTTCAAGGACGCACTCAAGAGCCGCTTCTCCAAAACACAGCAATGGATCAAGACCATTGACGAGACCGAAGGCGGTCTGGAAAAGTTCTCTAGGGTACGTTCATCGCCTGTGGATGAAGCCCTCACCACCACCCACAGCCAACCAACTGCCCAACTGACTAATTGACTGGACCATAGGGCTTCGAGAAGTTTGGCTTCAACGTCCAGCCCAACGGCGACGTCGTCTATCGTGAATGGGCCCCTAACGCACTTCGAGCCTACCTCATCGGCGACTTCAACAACTGGGATCGCGATGCGACCCCAATGACGAAGAATGACTTTGGTGTCTTTGAAGTGACTGTTCCAGGAAAGAATGGCCAGCCCGCAATTGCCCACGACTCCAAGATCAAGGCAAGACTGCACATACACACACATCTTGGGACAACCGACCGACTGACTTCACTACAGGTGTCTTTTGTCACCCCCAACGATCACGCCCGCCAGGAGCGCATTCCCGCCTGGATCACCCGCGTAACACAAGACCTCAGCGTCTCTCCTGTCTACGATGCGCGCTTCTGGAACCCCCCTGAGAAATATGTCTGGAAGCATAAGCGGCCAGCGACGCCCAAGAGTGCACGTATCTACGAGGCCCACGTCGGTATCTCCTCGCCTGAGCCCAAGGTGGCCACATACAAAGAGTTCACTCAAAACACGTTGCCACGCATCAAGCACCTGGGATACAACACTATACAGCTGATGGCAGTCATGGAGCACGCATACTATGCCAGTTTTGGCTACCAGATCAACAGCTTCTTCGCTGCAAGCAGTCGCTACGGCCTCCCAGATGATCTCAAGGAGCTCATTGATACTGCACACGGCATGGGCATCACCGTACTGCTGGACATGGTGCACAGCCATGCATCCAAGAACGTCCTTGACGGTCTGAACATGTTTGATGGCAGCGACCACCTCTACTTTCACGAGGGCGCAAAGGGACGACACGAGCTGTGGGACAGTAGGCTGTTCAACTATGGTCATCATGAGGTCATGCGATTTCTTCTCAGCAACTTGCGATTCTGGATGGAGGAGTACCAGTTTGACGGTTTCCGGTTTGATGGTGTTACCAGCATGCTGTACACTCACCACGGCATTGGAACGTGAGTTGATCCAAGATACATGTGACTACAGTGGCTGACAATATCCAAGGGGTTTCTCGGGTGGTTACCACGAGTACTTTGGACCGTCTGTCGACGAGGAGGCAGTCGTGTACCTCATGATTGCCAATGAGCTACTACACCAGCTCTACCCAGACTGCATCACCATCGCTGAAGATGTCTCGGGTATGCCAGGACTCTGCGTCCCACTCTCGCTAGGCGGAATAGGATTCGACTATCGATTGGCTATGGCAGTGCCTGACCTCTACATCAAGTGGCTCAAGGAGAAGCAAGACATTGATTGGGACATGGGTGCCCTCGTCTTCACCCTGACCAACCGAAGGCACGGCGAGAAGACCATTGCCTACGCTGAGAGCCACGACCAAGCCCTTGTCGGCGACAAGACCCTGCTCTTCTGGTTATGCGACGCACAAATGTACACCAACATGTCCATACTCTCCGAACTCACCCCAGTCATCGACCGCGGACTCTCCCTACACAAGCTCATTCGACTCATCACGCACGGCCTCGGCGGCGAAGGCTACCTCAACTTTGAAGGCAACGAGTTTGGGCACCCTGAATGGCTCGACTTTCCGCGCGAAGGTAACGGCAACTCGTTCCACTACGCCCGCCGGCAGTTCAATCTCGTCGACGACGAGCTGCTCCGCTACCGGTTCCTCAACGAATTCGACTCGAAGATGCAATGGACCGAGGAAAAGTACGGATGGTTACACGCGCCCCAGGCCTATGTCAGCCTCAAACACGAGGGCGACAAGGTCATTGTATTTGAGCGGGCGGGCCTGCTCTGGATCTTCAACTTCCATCCCAGCAATAGCTTCACGGATTATCGGGTTGGGGTAGAACAGGAAGGCACGTATAAGATTGTGCTGAACTCTGATTCCAAGATGTTTGGCGGCCATGGCAATGTAGATGAGAGTACGCGATTTTTCACCACGCCGTTTCAGTGGAATGAGCGCAAGAACTTTTTGCAGGTGTATATTCCTAGTCGGACGGCAATTGTACTGGCATTGGAGAGCACGATTTAGAAGGGGGTGGCGGGTTCATATTGATGAACGGGGCTGGTTTGGGGGATGCATAGGGAAGACACAGCATTGCGTTGCGTATATGTACCAATCGAATCGAAACATGGAATAGAAGAATAAGAAATGAAAATGAAAGACGGGATTTAGTAGCTAAAAAATTCGTCCCATGGAATTCTTCTGCTCGATGCCGCTGGATTGTTATGCCGATCGGTGTTGTGTTGTGTGTCTAGGTAATTGTGGTGTGTAGCCTGGGATGGGCGCTGTCTTTCTCATGCTTACTGTAGGCAAACTGTCAAGTGTAAAGTGCAATTCCATGTCAGAGAGTTTTGGGAGGAGATAGAGGATATGTGGTGTTTGCTTGGGGGGATAGGGAGGTGGGAAGTGAGGTAAGAATCAAAGAGGGATATTTGGTGTTTGGTTGGGGGGTGTGGAGATGGGGTTGGGTGACGGCGGTGGATAGAAGAGAAAGAAGATTTAGGAGGAGATGAAGGAATGTCAAGGTTATTGTTCATCTCGGACCTTCTGATGTAGGGCCAATATGATGGTATATTATCATGATTGATGATGGCTGCTGCTATTATATTCATGCTCCGAAACCATGGATTGATGTGACAACAGTGGTACCGGAGGAACTCGGAAGGGTGGTACTCGTACACCACGTACAACAGTGTGCTGGCCGCGAACGCACCCCAACCTTGACTATTCAGAAATTCATGAGTATCTCAACCCGAGGAGGAGAACCGATAGCTTCGACATAGGCGTCAGGAAGTAAGTGAAGAAACTGATACTCTCTCTCGTTGCAAGACCTGGAATGCTAACCATGTTGGGCGTTAGAGGGCACGGTCCACTTTTGCGCTTTGCAACAACCTTCTCAAGCTCCAGCTCCTTCCTCAACCACCCTCTCTCTCCACTCCACATCCGTCTCATACATCCCACAAAATGCTGAAGAGGTAAGAGACGGCCCCAAAGAAACCAATTGATGATGAATCGCCGGCTAATCCGATGATGCAGCGGCATCCAAGCTTCTCTCCGCGCGGGTCTGCGCCGGCCGGCCGCAGTTCGCAGCGCCTTCCAGCCCATCAAGAAGAACTTCGTTCCAGCCTTCGCCGCCCGCTATGCCAGCACCGAGGCCTCCTCTACCAAGGAAGGGAAGATCCACACGGTCATTGGTGCCGTCGTGGACGTCAAGTTCGACACTGAGCAGCTGCCCGCCATTCTCAATGCCTTGGTGAGTAGTGGCCGTGTCTTTTACCCGCCTTCCGCAGAACAGAAAAAGCCAAGTTTTCTACCCCACAATCACAATCGCAACAACAACAACACATGGGGATCATGGATGCTAATATAGCCAAAAAATATCTAGACCACCGACAACGGAGGCAACAAGTTGGTGTTGGAAGTGGCCCAGCATCTTGGTGAGAACATCGTCAGATGTATTGCCATGGACGGTATGTTCGGACAAACCTTTAGCTCCCATTAAGAAACGCAACTGATGGCATCCCGTAGGTACCGAGGGTCTTGTCCGTGGTGCCAAGGCTACCGACACTGGTTCTCCCATCAAGGTTCCCGTCGGTCACGGTACCCTTGGTCGCATCATGAACGTCACTGGTGACCCCATTGACGAGCGCGGTCCCATCAAGGCCACCAAGTATGCGCCCATTCACGCCGATCCCCCGGCCTTCACTGAGCAGGCTACCTCCGCTGAGGTCCTCGTCACTGGTATCAAGGTCGTAGATTTGTTGGCCCCCTACGCCCGTGGTGGAAAGATCGGTCTTTTCGGAGGTGCCGGTGTCGGAAAGACTGTGTTTATTCAGGAGCTGATTGTAAGGATTCAGCGAAAGCACATGGTCGACACAACGAGCTAACGGAATATCAGAACAACATCGCAAAGGCTCACGGTGGTTTCTCTGTCTTCACTGGTGTCGGAGAGCGTACCCGAGAGGGTAACGATCTGTATCACGAGATGCAGGAGACTTCCGTCATTCAGCTTGACGGCGAGAGCAAGGTCGCATTGGTTTTCGGTCAGATGAACGAGCCTCCGGGTGCCCGTGCTCGTGTCGCCCTCACTGGTAAGTAAACTTGGCTCACTTGAATTTCTCGTCTGTTTTTCATTTCTTCGCATCTTCTTGGTTTTCAATGCAACATCAACACTATCATCGTATCCAACATATGAACATGCATCTAACATACTATACAAGGTCTTACACTCTGCGAGTACTTCCGCGACGTTGACGGGCAAGACGTGTTGCTTTTCATTGACAACATCTTCCGATTTACGCAGGTTAGGCGCTTTTTGTGAATTTGATGAAGAAGATACTGACAAAATTAGGCTGGTTCCGAAGTGTCTGCGCTTCTTGGACGTATTCCTTCTGCTGTCGGTTACCAGCCCACCCTCGCCATTGACATGGGTCTCATGCAGGAACGTATTACCACCACCTCGAAGGGTTCCATCACATCCGTCCAGGCCGTTTACGTGCCCGCTGACGATTTGACTGACCCTGCGCCTGCCACGACCTTTGCCCATTTGGACGCGACCACTGTGTTGTCCCGTGGTATTTCCGAGTTGGGTATCTACCCCGCTGTCGACCCTCTCGACTCCAAGTCCCGCATGTTGGACCCCCGTGTGATTGGTGATGACCACTACAACACAGCCACGAAGGTCCAGCAGATTCTCCAGGAGTACAAGTCGCTCCAGGATATCATTGCCATTCTTGGTATGGACGAATTGTCGGAAGCTGACAAGCTTACCGTCGAGCGCGCCCGTAAGATCCAGCGTTTCTTGAGCCAGCCTTTCGCTGTCGCCCAGGTCTTCACTGGTATTGAGGGCAAGCTTGTCGACCTCAAGGACACCATTGCATCATTCAAGGCCATCTTGAATGGTGAGGGTGACGACCTCCCCGAAGGCGCTTTCTACATGGTCGGCGACTTTGCGTCGGCTCGCGCCAAGGGTGAGAAGATTCTTGCCGATCTCGAGAAGTCATAGACGCTTGATGTGGTGGATGAGAGATGAGAGTCGACCATTGACGGGAGCACTACGTTGATAGTCTCACTTTGTACAAAAGATATACCTCAAAATGTGGGATTGTGAGCGAGTGTTTCTACGAGCGTGGCTTTGTAATCTATCTTGCATTCAAAGAGACCGTTTCCGTGTTCGACTGATGACTTGGATCTTTGTGTAAATGGTTGACCTGTGTGACATGATGTTGATGGTTGATTTCAATCATCATTTGAAACGCTGGCACGACAATGGCTGACTGACTGACTTGCATATAACAGGTGGGTATGCTTTGACTGAGCAGTGACCGCACACAGCCCAAACATCTACTGTGAACAAGAACGAGCTACTCTGCAGCCCTCGACAGACAAGCAGGGCTCACATAATCTCATTCACCAGACGTTCTGCCGAGCTTCTACCCCTATTAGCATGGTAATAATACCCACCCGACCAATCAGGCCAGCGCAGATCAAAGCTTGATAGAGCGACCAAGGAAGAATAAGATAGCTTAGATTGACCTGTAAATTGAACTACGCCTCTATGCGCACATTAATATATGAGATTTCCTCTAGTGATTGTGTATGGCATGGTATAGTGGTAGAGGTGGTAGAGGTGGTGAAAGGGGTCCTTGGTTATTGTCTTTACTATTACTTTGATATTAGGATTTGGGGGATATTAATACTTACCTTGATATTACAAGATATTACTATTACTACCTATCCTACGCCTATGGTACTACCTAAATTACTGCCCATACCACCACCTCTACTACTACTACTACTACTACTACTACTACTACTACTGGGTATATCACGATATTAAGGTGAATATTAATATAGTAGTAGAGGTGGTAGGTAGTATAGGTAGTCAGGTAGGTATTGTATATCCTAATTATAACCTTGGTATTAAGGTAGGTAGGTAGGTAGGTAGGTAGTAGTAGTTATAGTAGTGTAGAGCAAAGTATTTTAAGATGGGGATAGGTATAGGGAGAGAGGGTGATAGATAGAATAGGTAGGGAGAGAGGGTGATAGATAGAATAGGTAGAGAGAGAGGGTGATAGATAGAATAGGTAGAGAGAGAGGGTGATAGATAGAATAGGTAGGGAAAGAAGTGAGGTGAGGAGTGAGGTAGGATTACTTATAGGCATAGAAGGATAGAGTTAATATATCCAACTATCTAAATCAAAGTATATAAGACATTCTCCCTATACTACTCTATCTTCTACTCTACTACTCGTAAAAGGACTTGTAACTCCTTACTGTACACTTTACACATCTAACAAGTAGCCACGCTGCACTGCACCTAGTACAAATACGAAGCACACATCTTCCCTCTAACTCTACCCTAACCAATTGACGTCCTAGCAATCCATGTAACATTCCTGCTTAGAAGCCAGGTAAACGATATCCGCGCCCTAAAACCTAGAAGACTGTTCACAGGGTTTGCGGGTGCAGTTGTGTAGTTGTAGCGTGCAAGGGAGTATATGTATATGTACAATGTGTGTTGCCATGCCGTAGGGGTGGGGCGGGGGTATGGATATCTAGTGGTGGGGCAGAAGTATGTGATGCAAGATGTGTGTATTGCAATGGCAATGAGTGTTGTGATTGTGGGCGTGGGTGAAAGATCTAGGCAGGCGTGTGTGGGATATAGATTTGTAATCTAGAGGGGTAGATACACGCCGCTGTATGGGGAGTCTGTGGGTGTGGGTGTGGGCGTGTGTGTGTACTTACTACTTCACTAACGTGGTATATGGACATGTGCATGGGCTGTCTGATGAATGAAAATGTACGTACACATGAGAGATGTACAGTCTTGAATTGAAATACCGCATCAACTTACCGGCCTCCCCCCCCGTCCCCCCACGTAGCTGGTGAAAAATCTGATTGTGAGGGAGCAGCACATGACACGTCAACACAGCCCAATTCAGACGGTGTGGCGGATTCTACAAAGGTGGTGGAGAAGCATTGATTAGGAGACTGTTTGTTGTACAGCACACGCCTTTGTACAATTCGTCCTTTTCTTTTTACACATAATGATCAAAGCGGGGATCGCAGGACAGAAAAGAGACGTAAAAAAGGCCTCTAGTATTGTATATACAGAAAGCTCAAATGACAGTAGCCCAAGCAGGCAAGCGGCTCATATCCTTCGCCCTCCTTCCCCCCTCTCTCCCCTCTCATTCTTGTTGGTGTGATGTGGCACAGAAACAATACCAAGCGGCAAAGTGTGACCCAAGGAAAATGTGGCATCGGTGTATTGGTATTTGTTTTGAATGCTGTGACGCGTCTACTCGAATTCTCTCTACTCATCGTTGACCTTCTCCCTGGGGGGCAGGTCCTTTTCAGACTTGCTCTGGACCATCATGCCCTTGTAGCCGGTAATGGGCTCGGATCCTTGGGCCTGTGTTGTGTTAGTCGGGCGATGCTAGACGGAATCCACTGCACTTGGGCACGGTGGCACGCACCTTGAGGTACTCCTCGGTAGCCTCCTGCCACTCCTTGGTCATGGTTCGGGGCCTGATGGGGCTGGCAAACATGCGTGTGAAGGCAAAGATGGCAAAGGCACCGGCGATTACAGCCGAGGACAGGAAGAAGACGTTGCGGCCCTCATCTGGGGGCGGGGGTCGGCGGGGTCCATGGGGACCAAAGGCGATGAAGTAAGCTGCAAGCACAGCATCATGGGTCAGCGCAGAGTTCCTGATGATTGAAGTCGAGGTACGTTTTGGTCATGGCTCCGCGGGCAAGCTCGGGTAACCTCGATAAAATCGCGGAATACGTCATATGAGCCTGCAGAGCACCACGACGCGCCTAAAAGAGCGCTTTCCTGTGAGTTTCAGGGTCTACGCACCAGCCTTTTTCTCTTGCATGGTCAATTCCTTCCAGTCGGTCTTCATGCGATCCCGCAGTCCCATCCACAAGTCGGCCTGCTCCTGGGGAGGCATGTCTTCCCAGCGCTTCTCGATGTTGGCCAGGGTCGGGTTGGAGATGGCATGCGCCTGGCGGACGTGCTGCAGCTGGCAGGCGATGGGGGCGGGTCTGGGCAGAGCGGTGGTGCGAGAGGCAGTCGACGGCATGACGGTGGCCGTCGTGCTCCTCTGAGCGCGGACGAGCGACGAGCGCAACATGGCTGCGGGTGGAGTGGAGATGGACGAAGAGTACTAAGAAAGGGTGGGAGCTTCCCGTCGAGGGACCTGCAGCTGCCAATGGGTGGGGGTGGTGGTGGTGGTGGTGATGGAGATGGAATGTGCGTGGTAGGAGATTGGCTTCTCACAAATCCGCTGCTGGCTCTGCAAAACCTTGGCGCAAGGTCGAACCACCAGCTAGACGCGATCTAGTCAGCAACGCTGGGGCCCTCATTGGCTGCCCGTGGCGGGGAGAAGGAGAGCGAGAGAGAGAAAGGAGGAAATGGAGAATTCGAGTCTGTCCACTATCTCGCTATTGTGCGCAAGCCCCATTGCTGGCCCAATTTCCATTGCGACGGGGCGAAAGCTGCACGAGGATTCAATTGTGAAAGGATTGCATGGCTGCTGCATATAATTGGCCCCCAGTCAGTGGAGAGGGCTCGCTTGACGACAACGACGACGACGACGACGATGATGATGATGCTGCTGCATGGGTGAGCAACAAAGGCCACACAACAACAAGCCCAAACGTGGGCAGGTATGACGGTGTCGAGATACTATCTCATGTACATGGCAGATGTCAAAGGAGTTGCCCAATGGATATATAGGCACGCAACTCCATGTTGACAATCATCGAGGAGTGAGTGCTGCTGCTGCTACCTAAGCACTGCTGCCCCCTCAAATTCTCGCAAATGCTCTCAACCCCAGGACTTTGGTCCAACGAATGGTTGCACAACAGTGGTCAGCACTACACATCATCAGAGTGTATGTGCACCGTAGTTTTGAACCTAATCTGTGACACTTCGGCCACTTGTGGTTTCACTTTCACAACACTATGATGTGCTGAACAGTGAAGATGCAGCATGCTTGAGGCTCAACGCCGATGGCGCATTACACAGACACTGCAGTCGACTCGTCATTCGACCAGAAACAAAGTCGGTAGCCATTGCGCACGAAGTCCTATCTTTGCGAGGCCTATGTTGATCAAGAGTGTACGTTACTCAAGGCTTGGAGGGGGGTCATCCTGCAGCAGCTTACCTACTACCTAGATTACAGACAGCCCTGAGCCCTCTTGTATAGATGCTGCAGCTAATAGTCAGTCTTTGTACGCCCCGGTAATGGGTACATGTATACTACTATACAGCACTATGGTACTTATTCACCGCACGGGTTGTTGAGGCTGATGCCCTCTTATAGCACAGGATCTACACAGTATAACAGTAGAGTACGCCGGTCCTTGGTGTCTCCAGCCGTGAGCACAGCCGTTCCGTGACCGGAGCAGTGTGGACAGCACGGTACAAGCAAGTCGGGCCGACATGATGGCATCATCCTTCAAACGGTCGACGAGCCTCCCCTCCCCTCAGCCTTTCAGCCCTATAATGTTTTGCCTGTGCTAGCTACTAGAGTACAAAACCACTACTCTTACTCCTCAGGCTGATCTGCCCCTCTTGGTCAATGCAGGAACCTGGGCGCTTTGGAGACCGCCACCTTTCTAGTACCTATTCTATTGTAGTACACTACCTACCCGCGACCAGGTGGTGGACTAGAGTAAAAACAGTTTTGCTTCATCCCGGCCGCGGATGCGCCACGCTCACCTCAACCTCACTCGGCATGCTCGACCATAGCACGCGTAGCGGTTGGGAACTTTCGACTTTGGTGGTTACACCAACCGCTCGCGTCCCCACGTAGTCCGATCCGCTTTCATAGCCAGCCGCCAAAACTCATCATCTCGAATGACCAAAACCATTTTGTAGTCTCGAGACATCGGCCGTGGCTCACGCACGAGAAGGCCTGAGACTATCTGATGATTGCAGTCTTGTGCTACCGTCTGCCCATTATGAGACATGTGCGTACTTCTTTCGTAAGCGTGTGAGGGCGCCGAGAGTGCGGTGCGGCGTTGTGCTAGTACCTAGGGTCGGTCTGCCGTCAAGCATATCCATACGAGTCTCCCCAAACAGTACATTGAGCATCATGCAGTGTGGGCGAATGGGTTCAGGGACGCTGAGAAGCTGCAGGCTCGAGCTGCTTGTTTCATCGTGGGCCTCGGGCAAGCTTAAGAGTGCGAGTTCCAGGTTACCCGAGCTCTCCTTCACTCTCCGATGCATCCCGCAAACACCCATCATGGGCAGCACACGCCCGAGGCTACAGTTTGCTCAGACCTGACAAGCAGGCTCAAAAGGCTCAGGGGCTCAGCAGACTCAGCAGCCGGCCGGGGGTGTGTAGGTACGGGGGGGGGAAAGGCGAGGTGAGGCGTTGCATATCTGGTTACAGAAAAAAGAACTAGAGCTTTAGTAGGAGTGACGTCCTGAAGGTCCTACCGGTATTTAGCTTGCCCCTCCCTCACCCCACCTCTTGGGAACAGACAAGACCCAACAAAACACCGACGCCTTCCCAGCCCCAACACAAAACTCTTCCTCTACTCTTACCCATCAATCAAATAAACCACTTTACATCCACCTGCACTTAAATAGTGAGCTCATCCCCGCGACTGTCCCTCGCCACCCTTCACTTCTTCTCACACACGTCTCCACACACAGCATTCCACTCAATTCATCATGGTCGTCAAGGTACGCGCGCTGTGCCCCGCTGATGCTGCTTGCAGCCAAAAGGTTGTGGTCTGTGTAGGAGCTCGCACTGGA